GAAAAAAAAAAAAAAAAAAAAAAAACATAGTCTTTTTTTAAGGAGGGAAGGGGCATTACCAGTCCTTTTTTAATAATGGGATGGGGGATGTTATTTTAATAATGGGGAGGGGAACTGGGGGCAGGGAATTCTTAAACCGAAGCTACTCATCTGTATACTGTGCTGGTACCTTCCCCAAGACCTTACATTTTATGTTATGAAGATAATTAAATAAAAATACATGCTGGCAAATTAGAGGTTTTTTTTTAAATACAGGACTGATTTCTACAGTAAAAAAGAATGGGTTAGTATCTGATCACATCAGAAAGTAAACACTGTTCTGTTTCCTCTAGGGTGTTTCAGTAAAGACCAGGTATACTTGGATGGAATCCTTCAAATCCTCCGATACAGAGAGACCATAGACTTTCATCTGCTGATCGCTCTGGGGAAGGTGAGTAAAAACAGTGACACAGAGTCCCCAAACACACTAGGTCACCATTTCCTGCAGCTTGATTTTATGATGAAGTAAGACTCAAGTTCAAACTATTTTTACTTTATTGTTGGAATAAGTTCTCTTTATGTGATATTGGGAGGGAAGAAATATGGTTCTGTCATAGAACCAAATGGCAAAATTTCCCAAATTGTTTCCAAAATGTCCTTTGTAGCTTTTTTTTTGTGTGTGTGTGGTCTGGGATCCCATCACAATTTATGCATTGCATTTGGTTATAATATTTCATCTCATTTAATCTAGAACAGTCCCCCTCACTCCATTCTTTTTGTTTCCATGACATTTTTGAGAGTCCAGGGCAGTTTTCTTGAGAATTCCTGCCATCTGGATTATTGGATTATTTCCTCATGATAAGATTCAGGTTAAACATTTTTGGCAAGAATACTACAGGAGTGATGTTGTGTATTTCCCACTGTATCACATTAGAAAACACATGCCATTGTGCCCCATTATTGCGGGTGCTCTGTTCAATCACTGGGGTGAGTTAGTATCTACCAGTTCTCACCATTGTAAATGTATCTTTCCCCCACTACGTTAATAAGTAATCTGTAGGGAGATACCTGTGAATGGACTGTTCCCTGACAACCTTTTGAGGAATGGTTTTTTACATCCACTGAGGATTCTTGCCCAAATCAATTATTACACTGGTGGTATAATAAAATAGGGATCTTCTAATTTGGTTACGTTTCTTCTTTTACTTCCCTTTTCTATAGTATTATTATGGACTTATTCTTTTTGATTCAATGTTTTCATGGCTGATCCTATGTTTCTTAAATATGTCTCAACGTTTTCTGGCAAAGTAAAATGTTCTGGGCTCATCTTGTACTTTTCCAACCCAAATCCGAGATTAGCCATTTCTTCTGTGAAGACTTGATTAGTTTTAGTGAGAAATGGTATTTAGAGCACAAGATCTAAAAAAAAAAAAACCAAAAAAAGAAAACAAGATCTGAGCACCAAGTATGCACCTTGCTACTGTGGTACTCTTGCTTCTAGACCTTTTCAATGAGCAAATCATATACAACAGTCCCTCGGTATCTGTGGGGGATAGTCCCTTATATAAAATAGTGTAGTATTTGCATATAACCTATGCACATCCTTCCATGTACTTTAAATAATTTCTATATTACTTACAATACCTAATACAATGTAAATGCTATATAAATAGTTGTTATACTGTATTGTTTAGGGAATAATGATAAGGAAAAAAAATCTGTGCATGTTCAGTACAGACACAATTTGTTTTTGAAAAATATTTTCGGTCTGCAGTTGGTTGAATCCACAGACAAGGAACCCATGGATATGGGTTATTTTAAATCATAAGAGCATTCCAATTCAAATCAGACCCTAAGGATTTTTTCACACCTCCACTCCCATTCCATGTTTATATCTCCCGTCTCTTAAAATGAGAACCTGTTTCCCAATATCAGTATATTTACTTATTCTCTCCTATAATAAACTCAGAATGGTTTAAGAATTACTGAGCCATAACAGTATCAACAAACCTATTTTCATTAAATTTAGTGGTGTAAATACTAAAGTAATTTAAATAATAATAAAAACTAAAACTTAGTAAAATAAAGATGTAATATGAGTATGATTTCTTTTTTTTTTTTTTCCTTTTTGTCTTTTTTACTGGCCGGTAACGGGATCGCAACCCTCAGTGTCACGCCCGCGCCACGCTCAGCCAGTGAGCGGGAACCGGTCACCACATGGGATCCGAACCCTCAGCGGGAGCACCGCCGTGCTCCCAAGCGGTGCACTCTCCAGTGCGCCACCAGGCCGGCCCTATGAGTATGATTTCTTAAAGCCTTCCTACTGAACCTGAAAGAGTATTGATCAGAAGACAATAGTATTTTATTTAGTTTCTTTATTTTTTTCTTTTATTGTGGCATTGTATTGTTGTTGTTGTTGTTGTTTTGTAGCTGGCCAGTGTGGGTATTTGGACCCTTGACCAACTGAGCTAAGTGGCCAACCCAGCAATACTATTTTAAACAGTCAACTATGTTTTGGAACTTAAAGATGCAAAGATAGGGGCCGGCCTGGTGGTGCACTGCTACAGTGCGCCACTTGGGAGCGTGGTGGTGCTCCCGCCGAGGGTTCGGATCCCACATACAGACCGGTTCCCACTCACTGGCTGAGCGAGGTGCGGCCGCAACACCGAGGGTTGCGATTCCGTTGCCGGTCCTGGTCCGGTACGGGCGTGACACTGAGGGTTGTGATCTGTTGCCGGACACGAAAAAAGACAAAAAGGAAAAAAAAAAAAAAAGATGCAAAGATAATTTATAGAACTTAAAAAGTTTCACCCCTAAACCTAGTATAAATGCTTGTGAAGGACTGACTTCTTATATGGTAGAATGAAAGAGATGTGAAATTTTTAATAATACTTACAAAAATTCAAAATAAAAGCAAAGAATATAACACAAATCACAAATTATTCTTTCCCAAGTTAAATAGAAATAGGAGTCCAATATATAATTATGCTAATTTTCTTATTTTATAATATGGTGTTTCTAGCTATATTCTTGATTTTTTCAAATTTAGATTTAGTCAGAAGATTTGCTTGGGTGTAGAATCTCTCTCACAAATATATATATTAAGTTTAGTTGTCTTCTTTTTAGACAAACTGAGTAGATTCAAGATAGAGTGTTAAATCAAATGCTAACTTTCGATCTTCTTTTTAATATGGTCATGGTATGATGGAGGCAGACAAATAATTCTTATTTAACAAAGTAAAGAAAAGTAAGCCACTGAGTTTTGTTATTTTGCAGCTATTAAAGTAATTTGACAAGTGATCTCTGTAGAGTTATGTGCTGCATAACCATGTTTCGGTGAAGGACAGACTGCATATACGGGGGTGATCCCAGAAGGTTATAATGGTTACTCCATATAGCCTCGGTGTGTAGCAAGCTATATTATCTAGATTTGTGTGAGTACCCTCTGTGATGATCGTACAGCAGTGAAATCGCCTAAGAACGCATTCCTTAGAATGTATCCTTGTCATTAGGTAATGCATGATAGTACTTTCATTTAAGACCCAGGGAAGAAATTCATATTCAAAATGTAATTTGTAGTTACATTTTAAAATGCACCCATCTTCCTTTTTTCAGGTTTCTTACGAAGATGTGGATCGCTTAAAAGGATTGGCAGTTATTGAAAACATGAGGGTCCCTCACTTCCTGCAGGACCATGGCCGGTATATGGAACACTTAGAGAAGATCATGGAAGTGAATGAACTGACCGACAGGGAACTGAAAGATCTTATATAGTAATTAGCATTTTTGTAAAAGAAGCTAAGCTATTTCTCCTTGTATATTACCAGTTAGGTGCAGTTGGCACCAGCAGATTTATAAAAGAAGAATGATTGTGTACTTCAGTTTTCTGAAGAATGGTCTTCAATATTCAGCTGAATTTTTAGGTTAAGTACAAACCTTAAACTATTTCTTTAAAATGTTTCTATACCCTGCAGGGGGAAGTTACTTCTTTTGTTATTCGAAAGAGTCAGTTGAAAATGCTACTGATGAACGTTTTTGAAGACTCTTGGTCGAGTTGAGTGATAAACTCCTGCCTGGGCAGTGAGCACTGACCTAGTGCTTCTGCCAGAGCTCCGAGGCCAGCTCCACCTGGAGACTGGCTGAGTTCCAAATGGTGTTAGTCAAACTTCAAGGTTATATTTTATTTGATAAATAATGGTAATTATTCTCCTTTGAAGAATTAGTCTTGTGATGCTCCAAAAAGCTAGCTGTATATCTAAGATTTCTTATTTCTCTTATATGTTAGGTAATGTTAAAAGGAGGGGGAAAGCAATTTGAAAAGTTTTTATTAAATCCTTTATTTTACACATTATTGTTTCACCATCTCAGCTTATAAGAAATACATTAGAGCATTACCTCATTTTGTCCAGTTATCTCTTAACTAAACTCTATTTTTGTTTGCTGAAACATATTGTACCCCTTTAAATTTTTAAGGAAGTTTTAAGGTCTTTCCCTCTGCATTCCATATATAAATGATAAGTACAAGTTCTAGAGAAGTTTGTCTCTGCAGATCAAAATAGTTGGGGAAAATGGGAGCTACTAATCTTTTGATTAAATGAAATGTGTAATGAGCAGGGGACAAAGAGACTGACCTAGTTAATGTAGGAGTTGGATGTTGACTGAGTAGCACCTACAGTAAACTTGACCATGCCCTGAAAGATGAAATTCCTGGACGTTGCTATTTGATAAGCCAGCCTCGTGATATTGGCTCAGTGTATTTTATCAAAATCTTTGACTTCATCAACCCAATAATGTCATAGTTTGAATTTTAAAAATGTGAGTTCTGTTTTGCTATGTTTCTTGTGCTATAAGCTTTTACACTTAGCTTTGTAATTTGTCAGTTTCAGTATATACTTGGATATGTACTCGGGATGAAATGGTTTTTATAACTTTTTTTTTTTTTTTTTTTTTTATAAAGATGACCGGTAAGGGGATCTTAACCCTTGGCTTGGTGTTGTCAGCACCATGCTCAGCCAGTGAGCAAACCGGCCATCCCTATATGGGATCCGAACCCAGGGCCTTGGTGTTATCAGCACCGCACTCTCCCGAGTGAGCCACGGGCCGGCCCCTTTATAACTTATTTTAATGATCAGAAAGTACGCTGCTGTAAGCACCCCATCCAAGATTGCTACTGTAATTTCTACCTAAAGCTATCTGAGAGTTTATCTTTACCTTAGTTAGGTTAAACTATGGTGCTAACAATGGTAACTATATATACTGCAAGTCTGGTCCACATTCAAGCTAGAATGATTTTAGGAAATCTTTTGCAGGCTAGGTTATGTGATTTTTCTCTTTCACATATCTATAAGGGCTTGCTTCAGAGAAGAATGTTGCAGCAAATAGGATATACTCTAGCTGGTGCCTGGGGGTTCTTGCAAAGCCATGCATCTTGTCTTTGGTAGTAGAGGGCTAAGCCCCTTGGAGCATTGAAAGGCCCCCCCACAGGTGCCATGCTGGCTGGCATATGTCCTGCACATCTGTGTGCCAGGCTGGGGGCAGAGTGGGCCGGCACTAACCAGACACTGGGATCTATTCTTGACACCTCAAGCACGTATCTTCTTATAGCAGAGTCCTGCACTTTCAGCTTCGTGTGGTGTTTTCTGACTTCATCCTATAACTCTTCAAAGGTGATTGTTGAAACAGTGTCTTAGAAGTGTAGACAGAAATGGCAGTATTTATGTCCTGTGACTTAAGCCTTTGGGCTTGTAAATTCAACATTTGCAGGCAATAATACTGCTAATCTTACATTATGGTTTAAATATAAAGGAAAATCACAGTAGCCTTGCTTCCCTATTGGTAGGATTATTTGCAGTGGTTTTAGTTCCTGAATTTTAAAATAGGTAGATATTCTCTTTTTGTCTGATTTGGAAAAGGAACCTCTTTCTTGCCTTATTGCTTTGATATGAAGACAAAAAACATGAGCATTCTGCAGACTAAAATGACCTTAAATCACATTGATTGTCTTAAAGTATTCTAAAAGTTAGCAGTGAACCAAAAGTAGTTTCAGATTAGCAGAAAAACTTAAAGAGCTCTAAGCTTTGGAAGTTGGGATTGAAGATTTAATGAATGTTTATTAATTCTCTTTTTTGAAATAGCAGTAAGGTCAGTTTTGTTCCCTAAAATAAAAGTTTTAATAAACAGAAAATTATAGCAACAATACTTAGGAAGATTGAAGATTGTGTTAATTTTAATTATAGTAGTTTTTTGCTATAACCTATTGATGATTTCATCAGTTTTGTCCAATAGAATTGTAATATCTCATACAAATTCTGATGAACTGTTAGGTTTTAACATCAGACAGGATTCAAAGTAAAATTATTTGCAAACATAAATACATAGCCTTCATTTCTTTATATTTTTGCCTTTGTAAATGTGTTTAAAATTTGTATTTTTTTGTATATTTTTGGGTATTTTATGTCTAGCTATAATAGCAATAAATAGCACCGAGGTTCTCAAATGAAATATGTGGATATATATGCATGTAAACTTCTGTTCTTTGAAAATGTAATTATATTTTTATTGTGGTGGTTCTCTTTTAGTGAGTGGTAATTATTGCAAGGACATTGGTCATGCTTGTCTTCCAGTGTCCTCACTTACATGTTTGCCACACTTCACCTTTCCCCTAATTATTTCAGCTTATATTCTCATGGGCCCTAGGGAGAAGGGAAAAGGAAAGAGGGACAATTTTGTCTTAAGCTACTACCCTATTCATTTAGTAAACTTTTGTGCGGAACCTGTTGAGGAGCAGGAGCTGTGCTGAATGCCGGAGATCCTCTGAAGAAGACAAGACAGTTCAGTGAGGAAGAGAGGCCCTGAAGCAGGTTACCCATACCCATCAAGTACTGCCAGAAGAACGCATAGTGTAGTCAGCGGGCCTGCCCAGGTGTTTGAAGGAGAGAGAGAAAGATCATTTGCAGAGTGGTGATTGTTCACAGGATTTTATTACTGCTCTTTGCAAGACTTGTGTTTGGAGCATGAGCAGCTTTAGCCCAGGGGAAAGAGTGGACCACAAATGCAGCTGTTTGGGTCCACAAAGGCCTGGGGGAGAGCCCCAAGGCCTCCAGCAGATGCCCGAAGGAGCCAACACTTTATTCTTAAGAAGATGAGCATTGAGCAGGGACCCAAAGGAGAGTGCAGGGCCCATCAAGGGCAAGTAACTAGTCTTTGATTTTGAACCTTTATCTGTGCTTGTGAAAGCCTTGTCAGCTGGCTATGGTTTTTATCCAGTTTCTTTCACTGCAATTCCAATAGCTAAAGGAATTAATGCCTTGAAACTGATGGCCAGGATGTAAAACACCAAGCCGTGCAAGAGCTTTAAGAGTAGGTAGAATTTCAGTGGCCAGTAGTTACAAGAGATTTTAGAGCTCTGGAGATTTTTTTTCCCCCAACATGGGGATGGATAAACCTGAAAAAATCCTGCCACCATAAATACCAAAGTTCTTAATAGCAGCAAATATGTAAATGACCTAAGGTGTAACTATCACAAATTTAGATAAACCAGATATTTGGTTTTCTTGCCATTTAAAACTATACCTCTATCATATTTAGAGTACTTTCTAGTTAATTATTGTATATCTCTAAAAGAATTAAGTAGCTTGGATCCTGCAGGTAAACTGACCTTCCTAGATCTAGGAAGACTAATTATTTTTGTCACTGGTTTGTGTTGGAAATCTAATTCTCTACGGTGAATTATTTGGAATGCTTCAGCCAGCAATTAGATCTTGACAAGCAGTGAACAGCCTGAGGGAGTGTGAGGCAGTCTGAGTACCAGCCAGAGTTCGGGTGATTTCCGAGTGCCCCTCTACCGCTCGCCGCCAGGGGGACCTCTAGCTTCTTTCTTTTTTCCTGCTCTTCCCTCTCTTCTCCCTTCCACTGTTTTGCGGTGTTTTTAAGGCATTTTTTCATTTTTATTTCTAGCAGTTTACAGTTTCATTCTTTTACACTTAAATTTTTGATAAATGTAGAGTTTATCATAATGTAGAGGTAAGGATCCAACTCTTTTAAAAATTTTATTTCCATTTTTATTTTTAATTTTAATTTTTTTCAAAATATTTTAACATTTGCTTGTACGTATGTGTGGGGTACAGTATGTTGTTTCAATACATGCATATACTAGGGCCGGCCCGTGGCTCACTTGGGAGAGCTTGGTGCTGACAGCACCAAGTCAAGGGTTAAGATCCCCTTACCGGTCATCTTTAAAACAAACAAACAAAAAAACAAAAAAACATGCATAATACTGCACAATGAGTCACTTAGGGTAGATAGCATAGTTTTGTACCCATTTCTTTTGCTGGAGGACCTCTGGATGTTTAATCTTGCTGATTGACCCTTGAAACTAAATCCCAATCTAAGCTGATTTCAGGCAAGCGTAACTGATGTAGGAAAGATTTGTATATCCCTTCAAAGAATTGAGAAGAAGGAGTTACTGAAGTCTTTCGCGGGCCTGTTCCAAACTCTATTTCCTCTGTGCAGTATAAATTGCACACTGACAAGTTTGTTATAAAATTCCTTGAGGTGATTTGGACTGAAAAGCAATATACATACTCTGTATACTTGTATTTATAGTCTTGAGAAATATCTTCAATAACATTTCAGTGTGTCCATTTGAAACAATATGTGAATACCAGCAAGTTGAAATTCTGGTCCTACTTTATTTAACCCACATAAACACTTTAGACACCTCTCAGTGAAACCAGTTTTTTCCTCTTAGAGAAATGGGAGAGAAGGAGATACTGGGGAAAGTAACCAAATCCTGTGGCCAGAAAGATTTCTTAGCTCAACAACTAACAATGTCCCACAAACTAAGATCCCCATTGTTTCTAGATTACAGGCAAGGCGAGGGAATTCAGTATCTAATCTTAAACCCCACTTTGCTTAGATACACAGCAGCTTGCTGGCTTTTGCCAGAAACAAGATACCTAGTAACAATGCAGCCTTCAGACCCTTGGAGCCTCTGGACTGTCTTCAAATAAAATAGTGGACTCTGCAGAGGCCTAGCTCCCTCTCACCCCACCCACCTTCTCCCAGGTAAACGGACCTCCTGCAAACTGGGATTCCTTCCCAGGGCTATTACGCAAACCTCTGAGGTGTTTAAGGGTTAGATGTGGCTGGATTTGTCTGGGAGAATTCTAGGCTTTGAGAACACAAATATTATGTTGAGGATAAGAATTGAGGCCC